CACTTAGTAAGATCAAATTTAAAAGGTTTCTATTTCAAATGGTTTTAGATTATACCAATTGCAAATAAGCCTTCTCTAATGTGATTTTATACTTACAAATAGTTGAATTATTTAGAAGCAAGAATGACAAATGAATTAATTATACTTCAATAATAAAACAGATCACTGAATTACCCTTGAAGCTGTTTGCCAAATTACTTTGGTTCTTTTATTTTTTAAGTTAACACATTCAATTTCAGCTACACTTTGGGATTTGGTGAGCAGCTGAGCTTTGAAGACAGAAGACAAGAAATAACTATTACAGCCCAGTACAACACTGGCACCTAAGACAGTACCAGGCAAATAAAAGATTTAAGAAATAGTTGCTAAAGGAATGAACAACAACAAAATTGTATACAGTGCTCAAGAACACAAATCACAATGTACAATAATAATATGAAAGGAGTTAGTCTAGTCAGTATATCTAGGACTATACTAATGTCACACATTTGAGTGCTTGCTCTGTGCTAATGCTAAGTGGTTTATTTAAACACAATGCATGCATACACACACATATACTCATATAGAGGCTTTTTGTAACAAGTTCATGGAAAAATGGAAATGAAAGATAATGGATTTTTTTTTTTTCATGAACATCTTAAGCTCCCTTATACAACATACACACACATTGCACTTCCCAATCCTGTGACATAATCAAGTAATTGCCATCAAGTCAATTTCAATTCATGGCAACTCCATGAATGTCAAAGTAGAGTACGGTACGTAGGGTTTTCGATGGCTGATTTTTCAGAAATAGATTGCCAGGTTTTTCCCCCAAGGCACCTCTAGGTGGAATTGAACCTCCAATCTTTTCAGTTAGCAGCGGAGCACATTATAGTCCACTAAACATTTACAGCACCCAGGGACTCCTACGAGGTAAATGTCATTATACAAATAAGAAACTCAAAAAAGAGAGACCAGTAAGTGTTAAAGCCAGTCTTCAAATTTAGGACTTTCTGATAACCACAGATTGAGTTCAAAATGTGACCCTCTTAACTTAAAAAAAAAATTCATGAAATATCATAAGCCACTGCCTTAACCCACATATGAAGGAAGTAATCCTATCAAAGTTGTATTTAAAATGACAAAAATGGTAGTAAGATGGAGTTCTTTTTGGTGCACATGATGGTTTCTCTGACAAGACTATTCCTGCTTCCTGGGTTCTCCCAAAGAACCTATATGTATCATATAACTGCTATAAGCCTCACCATTTATTTTTTGCATTATAGTTACTTATTTGTCTGTATCTCTACTATATCGCATGCTCCTAAAGGACATTTTCCTTATCATCTGCAAATCCTCCTGGCATCTAGCTGTTATCCAAATATTGAGTTGATGCCGATAGGAGGTAAATATTCACTGATATTAGACGAGTGCCGTCCATAGCGGTTGTGGCAGATAAGTATGCTTCCCTGGTTTCTCTATAGTACTTACCATTTGCAAATAAAATGGTCCAAAAGGTGCTAATTTTCATTTGCATGTTTAAAATGTCTAATAGGCTTAATTGCAATGTAGAGTTAGAAACAAGGCATTGAGGCAGGGTACCAGAGTCCATCAGCTCATCAGAATGCATATATTCTTGTAGTCTTGGTGGAAGAAGGAATTGGTAGAAGCCACTAAGATGACACACTGGATTTGTGTTGTGCTTTGACAGCAGTGGTTACCATCAGGGTTGAAGGAAGGCAAGGGCAGACACCAGAGTACATGATTATGGTTTTCCCATCAGAATCCCTGAGATTGCAGTGCAGTAGACTTGGATTGTGGGTGTTATGTATCAGAATCCAGAGGTGGGGTGGTTAATACACAGTTGGATCAAGTTTAGAGGTTATGCTTTAAGAATAGTATCCCCCTCTTGGGCCCAGAGTCAGAGGCATAGCCACAGAGGACTAGAGTGGAGAGTGAAGCATCCAGCTGATAAGAAGAGAGGGCATATGCATAAGAACACCACACTTGCAGATAATACCCACTTGCCCTGGCTTCAGTGACTGGATGATCAGAGCTCAACCAGAAGAAAGAAGAGGAAAAAAAGAGTAATCTGATACAATTTGATGAACTTGACCTACACCTATGGATGCAGTAGTTCAAAAGAGGGAACAAATCATTAGAGCAAGGATCATTCCCACCCGCTCCATATACAGTAGACAGGGATGGGCAACCTGAACATTGGCTACCTAAAATGGGGGGTGGAGGCTACAAAGGCAAGAAGTGACTGGCTTACAAGCTTTCAAGAGGAACCCTAGATCCAAAAGGCATGGAGGAAGGTAAAATCTCCACTGAGTAATATCCAATCTGTCTGAGAGGGGCTGATGAAAGGAGATGTGGATAGGTCTCTTGTGTACAATAGTGAATAATTGCTATCAGGACTGATTGTGAAGGTTCAAAATGTAAAGGTAGACATTTTGTAGCAAAAGGAGGGGAGTGATTGACTTTGCAGTCTAGGAGCGGAGGTCCCTGGGACCATCAAGGGAGAAGAGTGGAGAGCAGGACCCTACCAAGAGAAGCAGTGATGCCAGAGATGGAGGCAGAGAAGATGCTGTAGAGAGATGGTGTGGCTGAGAACTTTAGACCCAGAGAAGGAGAGATGTTGTGTGCTGACAACCAGGGGGCAGGCTTGTAGTGTATACCCTTTGGTTGGTTGATAATGCATGGAGGGGATTGTAACCATGGCAATGAAATGATATACTATAGGGTTAATGTAAAGCTAATGTTCTCCCATGTAAACTATCACATAATTCACAATAAAACAATAAAAAAATAAAAAAAGAATAGTATCCCCAAGTCTAATTTGTTAACCACTGCAAGAGACCTTTCAGATGATGATCAATGTAATATTCTGGGAGCATGAGCGTTCTTCAACTTCTGAAAGATCATCAACCATTGCTTCCTTCCAAACACTAGTCCCTCTAACCCTGGATGTCCAAATCCTGCTTCTAGTGTGTATTTGGAGGGGTATTTCTAAGTTATTGTTCTATAGGAAAAGTAGATTGATGTCAAAATTTTCAATTGTGTTTGACATGTTGAGGGTCAGCTATAATCATATTTGTAGAAGCTCGTTCTAAAAAAAATAAACAAATAAACAAAAACTTTCTTAGAGAAGACTTTCTTGAAACTTTTACTTTATTAGAGAATCTAACCCAAGTGTGAAAAACTAAAACCACTCTATCAATATCAGTTAACAATAAACCTACTAGAAAAAAAAAAAAATAGTTATCAGTAGATGCCTCTACTTGATGTTCTCCTGGGGCAGTTTTAATATCCATGTTGATGTACAGTAATTTCCTCCATCTAATAATGATTAAAAAAATCCCCACGTTATACAGTTTTCACACTCATATACACATATAAAAGTTTGAAGACCCGTCTTAGGAATATGTTTACAATGAATATACATAATACTGTGAAACAAAATCTGAGTAAAAATTTTATTCCAACAACATTTCTCTATTTTAAATTATGTTTATTAAGTTTTCATCACAGTGGAGACTAATTTATGCTTAATCATCCAGTCAATGCTTATTGTCAACTTCATCCAATTCCAAAACGAAAAATCAACTCATTCATACACTCCAAGTCCTGTTATCTTCCCACCACTCATTGCCTGTGTCTCTTCCCCATTTAATGCAACATTGTGATAGGATTGTGAAAAGGTACAATTAATAGGCTTATATGAATAATACCATTTCTTCAAGTATTCAGAGAGCAGTACATTTGTCTGCATTGTGCATTAGAAAACTACTTGTGACATTATTTTTAAGTGCAGGAAAGTGGCTCCTGGTGGGATTGTAACGAAGTTGTACGTCACTGTGTATGACAAGGATTTACAGAATTCTAGAATTTTCACAACTCTTATCATGTTAGTGAACGGCATTCAGTAAATGGTGTACTTTTCTACAGTTAGCTGTCAGATCTGGGACTTCAAAAACACGAATAAATAAAACATACAATCAACATGTGTAGTGTACCTGCTAAGTAAACAGAATAGCATGGAATAAGCTCACGGTTGCTAACTTGTGAATGGTTCAGAAAGGGTATTCTGATTTTACGATATCTATGTCTTGCCATACTTATTCTCAAATGAATATTTTCACTATTCTATTGCCAGCCACAATGACTGTAAAAGGCGCTGAAGTGGGGTTGAAAGAGTGAGGAGGGAAATAGAAACTTAATTTCACATACAACTAGTATCCTTTTCCTGTCACTTCTGTATATCATTAAAATTTGGTCTGTTAACAAGATCTCAAACCTCTCAAGACACAGCAGGTAGGTACCTATATAGAGAATGGTAAATGTTCCATTTAAAAAATTAAATGTTGGCAACTATGTCATTTAGATTGTATGGCCCAGACAATGAAAGGGATGATAAAGATTTTTTTTCAAATAAAACTTTGGAGATACAACACTTGAACATTCAAAAAATCATGTTATAGAAAAGTCATCAAACAACTGCATAAACAATAGACAATGGTCCTATTTAACAATGCCGTACAATCAATACAATTGTACTTCACAAAATAGAGCTTTGTTGCTTTGTTTACATTATGCATTTAACATAATGTTACTCAATGGAACGGAAAAAAAATGCTATAAAATTCTTCCAGAGGAAAATTATTGGTAAATGGAAAACAAGTGAGATGTGACAACCAATTTATACATTTACTTAATTGCCTGGGCTACCTCCACCCTCAGAAATACCTCTAGCCTGTAGGAAAAAGGAAAATTCTTTTTTAAAAAAAGCATATAAAACAAAACAAAAAGTACAAAAAACCTCACTGTTGATCTTTTCATTTTCTTCCACGCATTCAGCTTTGAGGGAAAATGTTCTTTCATGGTACAGTTCTGAGTTCAAACATATTAAATGCTAGAAGAAAAACATTTTGAATCCTATCTTTCTACTTCATTCTTGACTGTGTTGTACCATCAACAAATGTAACAAGTTGTCAGCTGGAATTCTCTTAATTAGGACACACACACACAGACATACACACACATAAATCTTAAGACAAAAGAAACCTATCCTTATCTGGGACACACGCATATCAAGATTTAAAACTAAGGTGTAACACAGTCACTTAATTGTTTTAAATAATTAAGGCTTCTTAAATGTTCAGTGCCACAACTCTTTGCATCAGTACTTAGATAAAAGACATTTTTGCATTTTAGGTTTGTGCTTTTTACAGCAGTCTTAATTCTACAAAATTTAATTAGTAAGATCTGGTAAGGGAGTGTTAGAATTGTTTACTGACATATTACTTTTAGTAGCTGTTAAGACTAAATTACGGTGATAAAAAAATCTATGACTGAACAGATTTGTTACATGTCACTTGGACTTGTTGGCTCATTTTACCTTCTTTTCATGCTTAATATGGCCATTTCTTTTGTACTTGCCATTGAGGATTCCATTGTGGTAATGTCCATTAACTGTGCTATGTTTATTACTACACCAGAGACTTCTGATTTTTCTGTAGATAAATTTTGTCACCAAGGACAAGAGGAAGTAAAACATGGCAGCACCAAGCAAAAGTACAAAGGCAATATCCAGTAAAAAATACTGACAGAAAGAGATTTGATATACAGCGGCACGTAGGTGATGGGCTCCATTGTGACGAAGTATGTAATCTATCCAATAGATAGTCCGATTGACAGGGTGACCAGGTTGATCCTTGTGAATTTCTGACAGCTTCTTGGCCCTCTGACGGTAGCTATGGAGTAAAGACAAAACACTTACTGATCATACATATGTTGTTGTTAAGTGCTGTGGAGTCACTCTCAACTTAGAGCAATTCTATATAGCGTTTCTGAGGAGCGGCTGGTGAGTTTATATCACCAACTATGTGGTTCAAACCAACCACCTTGTGGTCAAGTGCTTAAATTAAAGCATCACACCAGGATTATATATATATATATACACACACACACACATACATATAACAAGGTATATGACTCTCCCAATTTAAAAATAAGGAAAATAATTATTCTTTATTAAGTATATCACATATGCATAGTCCTTTTAGCCTGATATCTTATGCGAACACATACAAAAGGTGAGGAAAACGAAAATCAGAGACTTGGTAACTAGACTGCTATCACAAAATTGATAGTCAGAATTTCAGATTCAAGTTTTTCTGACTCCATGCTTTTCCACACTACAACATATCACTTACTCATGCCTAGTCTCCTTTATTCCATATGCTTTTACATATTAGAGTTTCTACTAATTAGAGTTTCACCCAGGAAGGAGAGAGGATTTTTTAGATTTTAAAATGGTTCTGTGGGAGAAAGATGAAGCTTTCTGCTCCTGTAAAGATTTACAACCTCGGAAACCCTATGAAGGATTGCTATGAGTTTGAATTGGCTACACGGCCCACCACCACCAAAGGAGGGTGGAGGGTGGAGTCCTGGTGTGGTACTGTGGGATAATACACTGGACTGAAAAGTCTGTTTGAACCATAAGGTTGTAGGATCAAATTCACCAGACGATCCTCAAAAACCCTAAAGAGGGTTGTTGTGGGTCAGAAATGACTCAACGGCACTTAACAACAACAAAGGAGGGTGAAATGGGGGGGGGAGGGGAGGACAGAACTCTGGTCCATCACTTTGATTTCTTTGAAGTAATGATATTTAATTTTGTTTTAATTTAAAATAACAACAAGGGATAGTGTCAAGTTACTGTATTTATTGAAAAGATGAAAACTTTTGAGGAACACCACTAGCTATTAAACCACATATTACATTATATGCAGCAAATGTCTATGTATGGGCATATGTATGTATGTATGTACAGTAAAACCCGTGAAAGCTGGAACCTCTGTAAGTTGGAAAACTGGCAGAAAAGGAAAACTCAAATATTTTCCACTAAAATGAGTGAGAGAAAAATGGTAAAGACGGAAAACCTGTGAGACCCAGAAAAACAATGCAGTCCCACCACGATCAGGCTCTCTCAGGCTTCACTGTATAAAGAATAAAACCTCTTAAATAGTTCATTAAAAAAAGTTAAAATGGAAAATCATAAAAAGTGACATAATGTAAAAATTTCATTTCAATTTAAAATATACAACTGTACATTTGGTAAAATTCTTTGACACATGGCTAAAGCCCCTTTGAGCAGAGATTCCTGACTGGGCTTTGCACTGAGACTTAGCATGGATCTTCTTTCTTGAATAAACTACACCTATAATATTCTATACTGAGGGAGGAAGTCCAAGGTGCACTGAAGGAACTGGCAAAGAATAAGGCACCAGGAATTGCTGGTATAAAAACTGAAATCTTTCAAGAAAGTGAGGCAGTACAGGAGGCACTCACTCATCTCTACCAAGAAATTTGGAAGACAACTATGTGGCCAACTGATTGGAAGAGATCCATATTTGTGCCCATTCCAAAGAGAGGTGACCCAACAGGATGCAGAAATCATCAGACAATCTCTTTGATATCCCATGCGAGTAAAGTTTTGCTAAAGGTAATACAGAAACGGCTACAATCATACATTGACAGAGAACTTTCAGAGGTTCAAGCTGGATTTAGAAGAGGCCGTGGAACAATGGACATCATTGCTGATGTCTGATGGATCTTGACTGAAGGCAGAGAATATCAGAAAGATGTTTACCTGTGCTTTATTGACTATGCAAAGGCTTTCGATTGTGTGGATCATGACAAGCTATGGACAACATTGCGAAGTATGAGTATTCTGGAACACTTACTTGTGTACCTGGACCAAGAGGCAGTTGTTCGAACAGAACATGGGAACACTGAATGTTTTAAAATTCAGAAAGGTGTGAGACAAGGTTGTATTCTTTCACCATACTTACTCAACCTGTATGCTGAGCAAATAATCTGAGAAACTGGGTTGTTTATTGGTCCAGTGGTGAGGATTTTTGTTTTCATGACATTGAGATGTAATCCATACCGAAGGCTGTGCTCTTTGATCTTCATCAGTAAATGTTTTAGGTCCTCTTCACTTTCAGCAAGCAAGGTTGTATCATCTGCATATCGTAGGTTGTTAATGAGTCTTCCTCCAATCCTGATGCCACGTTTTTATTTATAGAACCCAGCTTCTCAGATTATTTGTTCAGCGTACAGCTTGAACCTCTGAAAGTTTTCTGTCAATGCATGATTGTAGCCATTTCTGTATTACCTTTAGCAAAATACCTGTATCACATCTTTTCAAGCAAATTAATTTTCAAAAACACAGTTCTTGCAAAACTCATAATTTCATCAGTTTATGTAATATTGAGTTAAATTATATTATCATAATAATAAGAAGGATCAAAAGACTGGAGAATAAACACAAATGACTCTTGCTAAGCTCATAAGCCAATCTAACCTAGGGTAGGCAAGTAGTTTGGAAATGCAAAATAGAGTATATATATCAGTAAGAGTGTGGAAACAATAGAGAGTTATGGAAATCAGAAAATAACTAAGTTGAATCGGTCAAATGGAAGGTAATTTAAGAGATGAAACTATGTATATGAGTCTAAGTCTATCTATCATAAATAGTGCCAACTTGAAGGTAAGTTTTATTTTTCATCTTTAGACATGCCTTATAGAGTTGTTGTTGTTAAGTATTGTCAAGTTGAATCCAACCCATAGTGATACTGTATAGGGTTTCCAGGGAGCAGCTGGTGAGCTTGAACCACCGACCTTGCATGATGTATTAGCTCACAGAGGCACATCAGGACTCCCAGAGTAAAGAGTTAAAAATAACCACTGTCATTAAATTTATTAATTTTTTTACCCACAAATTTATAAATTTTTTACCCACAAATACCACTGGTCTCAGGACTGACTGTGGGACAGATACTGTGAAACTCACAACTATGAATCCAGAAATAACACAACTTATAGGGTGTTTATAGTGTGTAACAAGTTTAGGTTACTTCAAAGCAAATCTAATACCCAATTAAATATAAAAATTGCCACAGAAGAGTAAGAGAAACATTCAAAGAAAATAAATACATTTCTATGTGGAAGATGTGTTGAGCCATGCCGTATAGAGGAAGAAAAGTTTGGACATGTGAAAACTTGGTAGGATATGGGACATGGGTGAACTGAAACATAATGTAGATGAGCAAGGATATGCAGTTCTAGTTCTTCATCTAGAAAGAGTGTAAGGTATGAGAAGTGTTTGGTTGATAGATTGGGAGGACAAGATAGCCCAATCATGGGTATCCTGTATGATAAGATTGGTTCTTAAAAGCAAGAAGCTAATAGATCAGAGAGAGAGACTTATTAAACCAGAGCCTTGGGGACAGGGTTAAAGAAAAGAAATTGATGCTGAGATGACCATACAAAAGACTTCCCTAATGACTGAAAAAGTACTGCCAAAATTGTTGTTAAGGGCCGTTGAGTCAGTTAGACAGATGGGGGAATTGCAGCACTTGTTAAAAGTCAAGGTGAAAAGACAGAGAAGGAAGAAGTCAGAGGTAATGATTCCAACTTCATTTCCATGACACACAATTGTAGAAAATTTAACAGGTTAAGGAAACAGAACTTGGAGTAGGCTTAAACAAACAATTACAGTTTGGAGTGTAAAGAAAGAAGAGATTTCAGAAGTAGCTAGAAACATGAGGCTGAAGTTTCTGGAAGAGCAGTGCCTAATTAAAAGTCTACTAAAAATTTTATGAACTAATTAGGTGACTGTTTTTGTGAGTGATCTCTAATTCTGAACATTGTTAAATGGCATTGGGTTGGTTCCAACTCATAGCAACCCTCTGCACAAGAGAATGAAACACAGTCCAGTCCTGTGCCATCCTCACAATTGTTGTTTTATTTGAATCTACTGCTCTGCCATACCACCATGTCAACATTCCTGTTTTAAGATCTCTCCATTTTACTAAGTATGATGTTCTCCTTCAGACACCAGTTCCTCCAGATGACATGTCCAAAGAACAAGAGACAAAGTCTCGCCATCCTTGCTGCTAAGGAACATTTGCTGTACTTTTCTAAGACCAATGTACTTATTCTTCTGGCAGTCCATGCAACTTTCAATAAACTTCGCCAATATTGTAACTCAAATTCATCAATTCTTCTATGGTATTCCTTATTCACTGTCCAATTTTCACATGCATATAAGGCTACTAAAAATACCATGGTTTGGGTCAGGTGCACCTTAGTCCTCGAACTTATATCTTTGCTCTTCAACACCTTAAAGAGGTCTTTTGCTGAAGATTTGCCTAATGCAATAGCTTGTTTGATTTCATGACTGCTGCTTCTATGAGTGTTGATTGTGGATCCAAACAAGATGAAATCTTTGACAATTTCAATGTTTTCTTTGCTTATCATGATGTTATTTTTTGGTCCCACAGTGAGGGTTTTTGTTTTCTTTATACTGACGTGTAATCCAGTATATCTTTATCAATCAATAAGTATTTCAAGTCCTCTTCATTTCCAGCAAACAAGGTTGTGTCATCTGCACATCTCAGGTTGGTAATGAGTCTTCCTGCAATAATAATGTCACTTTCTTCACATAATACATCTTTTCAAATTATTTGCTCAGTATTAAGACTGAGTAAGTATGGTGAAAGAATGACACACACCACTATCCTGATTTTAAACTTACTACTATTGCCATGTTCTGATCTTGGTCTAAGTACAGGTTCCTCATGGGCACAATTCAGTATTCTGGAATACCTATTTTTAGTTGTGTCATCCTCAGTTTGTGAGGATACACAGAGTAGAATGTCTTTGCATAGCTAATAAATTGCAA